TTGACTCTTACAACCGACACGAACAATCACCATTTGTCCTCAAGCCATTGAGCCACCCTGATCTTATGTCATGACATGAGTAAAGTCTAACTAGGTACCATTTATAGTACCGACTGACCGACAACCCACGAGCGTTCACAAACAAGCCCCACGCCCGAACGCAATGTTGTAGCAAAATAAGTTTGTAAACGAACAGGAATTAGTAAAACACAGCGCATATACGGTGTATGGGAAAAGTGGGTACGTTAATTACAAAACAATGTACGATAATCGGCGTCAGCGAAGCTATGCTAGGTAGCCTAACTAAGGTTAGATAAATGTGCTAAGTCCATTCGGCACGAGCAACCCAAAGCTAGCGCGAACTACAACACCGTTCACACATAGGAACGACCCAATGACAAATGTGCATGGTATTTGTGGCAATTAATTTGTGCCGTTTCCAATTTACCCATTGTCTGCTACACAATGCACATTGCGCAGAAACGGGGAGGCCATTTAAACAAAGTACATGCTAGCTAGCTACTACTAACGTTACTACCGCTAGAGCAAGCTCGTTCGCCACCTCGCTCACTCAGGTCTTTTTTCTTTATCAACAACTTACCTCGAGCTGAAAACGCCGAGGAAAGTCTACGTTGTATTGCTACAGCATGGGCATTTCTTTAAAAGTATTGTTCCGTACATACGAAGTTGGTTCCCCCAACCAAAGGAGACCGTATATGGAGGGTTGATATCGCGCTATGTTTGTTTTAGCCACTATTACCGAAATGACCACTCAGGAAAAGCTGCCATTCGTCAGCTTTCTGATCTCATCTTTCCATAGCAGCGCCACCTGACAACGGAAATGACGCAAATTGCATGACTGACAGACTTGCTCAGCCAATAAAAAAAACAAACATAATTTGGTTCAGTAATTTTGTCTCACAGATGCAGTTGATTGATTGAGCGTTTGATGAAATGTGTTCGACAGGAGGTACTAGCGATGACATAACGTTGAGCAGAGGTTCAGTGTCAAACTATGTGTCAAATTCAATTCAATATAGTTTCAAAATGCATACATGGTTTTACAACACTGTTATACAAAAATTAATAAGTAAATTGTGAGCTTGGAGGCAAATATTGTATCCATTCATAACCTAATCAATGGCAGCAAAAAGTCCAGCATTACACTCAATTCTCCATTCACATGCTGTGATAGCTTTGTGCCTTAGTGAAATTCTATATCCTTAATTGCAAACAATTCCTCCATTCATGAGAAAGGATCTAGCAAGAGAGAGGAATGTCCCTTGAGAATGAAATAGGCTACAATAACTTTATATTCCTATCATTATCCTCATCTCTACTCAGATGGATAACAGGATTTTGGTTTGACTCCCAAACATATCTACACCTTCATTATAATGCATGACTATCGTACATATCGTACATATTGTACGAGATAACTTGAGTATTATACAGTTATACAGACATTTACAGTACATGTATTTGATTGATTAGCAATCTTTTAAGCAATAATGAAAGGTGCAGAACCACTCTGAAAAAAGAATAGTCTTTTTCCTCCCTGACCTGTTATGCTGACTAACATTTCCTTTGGTCCAAAAAATGAATCCTTCTACAAGCAGACCCTCCCATTCTGATCCAAATGTAGCATCCCTCTTATGGAACAATAATCTCTCCCCCACTTACTAGTTTCGATCCAGTGGGTAGGTAATAGGGGGGATGTAAAGGGCACAAAGTGATTTGGGCTGCACTAGTCTTCCTGTGTTGACTCAGCACAGTGGATGCCCCTGGCCACATTAAACACTTGTCAGCCTGTGTGGTTAACAGTGTCCAGCCCACAGCTTTTGATGAGGAAACTATGAATCATACCTTAAGAGAGCTTAGAGGTAGAGAGGGACATACACTATATTTCTAAAGTGTTCTATTTAATTATGTGGGAAGCAACCCGGCCTTGTAAGAGTCTTCCATTTGCACATGGCCCATTCTCTCTTTACATGCTTCAATTAAAACATGAAAAATAGTGGATGATTGGTGTAGGAATATAAAGCATATTTTTGTTGGTTTTTTTGTTTTTTAACCCTTGTTTAAGAAAATAAGCTAACTGATAACACATTCTCATTTACGGGAACAACCTGGAGATGAGTAGCAGAGAGGAGGGGGTGTGCTCCAGTGACTGTTTGTTTCCCAAAGAAACCATGCCCTTGTGTAAGGCTCTGGTCTGACATCTCTCCCTCTCCCCAGCAGACTGTTAAGAAGGCCTCACCTGAATCCCCCACCCACAGGTCCATTCAGCACAGTCATGTCTCAGCATGTTTTGACTGCTTGGTTTGCACTGATCTTGTGTCTGTGTGTGTGTGTGAGTGAAAGAGAGAATGTCTGGGCGTGTGGTTGACTGGGGGAGAGGGTTCTTCAGAGACATGCCCAGACTATCAGTTTCTCTTTGACTTGATTTGAGGAGGCACTCAAATAGCCCAAACACATGCAGGTACAGCATTGTGCTGTTTACATTGCAATCTTAATTGTAGGCCGGCCTATGCAGACAAGCAGGGAATTTGGGAAGGGTGAGATTTACTTGGACATAGTGTTTGTGTCGGATATTAGGTTTGTATGTTATGATGGCTAATCCCATGTTCCATATAATGCTGTGATGTTGTTTTTATAGAGATGAGTTGACTATATTATTTTGTGACAGATTTGTTTCTGGGTGCCGATATTATGAGTTGACTGACTTTAGATGGGCAATGTGGGTGTCTTTATGGAAAGGTAAACGAGTGCTAAAGTCACAACCCAGGGAGTGGGAGTAGACTCGTCACCCCTGTAATGACAATACAACTTTTTCATTATTGCTCAATTGAAAAACTCAGTAAACACAAAATGTCTCAGCAGTGTGTGGGCAAGGGGGTGATAGTGTCGGCGAGAATAAACCAGATTACAAGAAATGAGGAGCAATATTCTCCCCTCTCTCTCGCCTTGAAAATGATTTTGCCTCAGGCAAAGTGTTTGTACACTGAATGTAACGAAAACTCTTGAAAAAAAATACTCTTTCTGCACTCTCATACTGCTGTCAAGCAGTCTAGACATGACTATATACAAAGTTATAAAGCAACAGCTCCCTCTAGTGACAGGACTCCTCTACAACAACAACAAAAAGGAGACGTAACAAAACAGCTCTAGATTAGCACTCTATTGCATCATCAAGGGCACTTAAAATGGCCAATCTGCTATTGAAACAATAACAAAGCAGGGACCCCGTCTGTTTTGGTAAAAAGTTGAGGAATGGGCCAGGAGAAATGTAACCCCTCTCAAATTCATAGACAGAGCTACGGGTGCAAGGACTGACCATCCATGTCAAAATGATCATTTTAACCATGTTTTGAGGAGTAAAACAATATTATATTTTGGAATCTGAAGGGGTGTGACAATTGAACCAAGCTCATGAGTAATTTAAGTTATATTCTTCAAGAATCAATGGGTATATATCATTAATTTATAAATCCAAAAATGGATGTAGCAACTGCAGATTGACCCTTTAAATAGAAATGAATACAGTACATAAATTAAACAAAGCTAATGAGAGTTTCATATTTATTTACTTTCCAATCTATGTATTACGAAATTGACTTTTCTATAAAAAAATGTTTTACAATCTTTAATATTTCACCCCCCCCAAAAAACAGAAAAAGACATACACTGAAAACATGTACACCTCATGATAAATAAATAAATAAATACATCTTAGACCATATGTCATATTGCATCAAAGAATCAGCTACTTCAATACATTATTGTGGTTTCATTAGTGTTGTGTCCCACATAATCTATTAGCATTCCATTTGATGATGACATTTTGCAATAATTCACAAAATATTTACAAATTATTTGTCTTCATTTATTTGAAGACACTAAAGGCCTAAGCCCTAAACATACTTTATATATTTTTATATTTATCCCATACCAAAAAAAAAATCAAGGTACAGTAGAACTTTCTCAAAATATTGATTGAAGCGGGATCAGCAGAGCAGAAACCATTGATTGGAACAAATATGTTCCAACGATTCCATTTGACTTTTCAGTGCGACCTCTAGTACAGAGCTGTTGTATCTGTAACTTAAAAAACAAACTATTGAGATTACCACAATAGCACAAAATACAATCAGCAGCCAGTTTATTAGGTACACCCGGTTCACGAAAATGGATCGCTCCTACAGACAGTGAGTCACGTGGCCTGCTATATAAAGCAGGCAGACAGGCATCAAGGCATTCAGTTACTGTTCGATTGAACGTTAGAATGGGCAAAACGAGTGACCTAATTGACTTTGAGCGTGGTATGATCATCGGTGCCAGGCGCCCCGTATCCAATATCTCAGAAACGGCCGCCCTCCTGGGCCTTTCACACACGACTAGGGTTTACCGAGAATGGTGCGACAAACTAAAAACATCCAGTCAGCGGCCGTCCTGTGGGTGAAAACAGCTCGTTGATGAGAGAGGTCGAAGGAGAATGGCAAGAATCGTGCAAGGTAACAGGAGGCCACAAACAGACAAATAACGGAGCAGTACAACAGTGGTGTGCCAAACAGCATCTCGGAATGCACAACTCATCGATCCTTGTCACGGATGGGCTATTGCAGCAGACGACCACACCGGGTTCCACTCCTATAAGCTAAAAACAAGAAGAAGAGGCTCCAGTGGGCATGCGATCACCAACACTGGACATTTGAGGAGTGGAACAACGTCGCCTGGTCCGACGAATCCCGGTTCCTTTTGCGTCATGCTGATGGCAGAGTCAGAATTTGCCGTAAGCAGCATGAGTCCATGGCCCCATCCTGCCTGGTGTCAACGGCACAGGGTGGTGGCGGTGGTGTAAAGGTGTGGGGAATGTTTTCCTGGCACACGTTAGGTCCCTTGATACCAGTTGATCAACATTTGAATGACACAGCGTATCTGAACATTGTTGCTGAACAGGTGCATCCCTTCATGGCTACAGGGGGGTCCGACCCGGTACTAGATGGGTGTACCTAATAAACTGGCCACTGAGCTTACAACGTTTCCCCACTCTCTTTTGCAAAATGCACAGTCTTGCAGACAGTTTACAGTTGGTCCTTGCTGAACAAATGAATTGACCTGCTCAGGTCACATCAGCATCGAAAAGCTCTACAGACACACGAAGATGAGGTTTGTGTTGTGTGTGCGTTTGTTAGACAGTTGCCATATTTGCTGAGTGAGAAAGACGGCACAGCACAGCAGAGCAGACAAGACACTGTCCTACAGTAGAACACACCGTTCCTAACCAACTCAGCTTTGAGCCCCGCCCTCGGATTCTGGTCACCATGGTAACACTGTCACAGCCCGTCCATCATGGCCAGAAGGTCATCCCCTTTACTGCTGGCACTCGATGGGTAGGGCTCGCCAGCCTCCTCCGTGAAGTCCCCCATGATCTTGGCCAGCTCCGCATTGGCTTGCTGGTTCTGAAAGACAAGGAAAGCCATCAATGGCAGATCTGAAAGGTCTTGTTTGGGGAGGGGCTTATGATTGATTACGGTACATCTTGTTAGACTGGCCCATCCTGATCCTAATGCCTCTCGGATAACCTACAAACCTTAGCCTGTCAATTAGACATGCAATTCCGTTTGGGCAGCATGTCTGATCATGGGTTGTTCGTAAGTGCTAAGAGATGACTGCATGGGTGCAGTAAGTCTCCTGTGACAGGTTTCATGGGGACCTTTTTGATGGTTACACCACAGCAAGCATTTCGGTACACCTGCAATAACATCTGCTAAACACTTGTATGTGACAAATAAAAATGGATGTACAGTAGGACGGTCTCGATCTATGAAATGCTTCCATCTCATCCCTTTAAGTTACATAAAAGCATGTTACATGGTTGAATATTTATCTAGCCTCTGTGACAGAAAGAATATAGGTTAAAATTAACTTTACCATAGTCGCTTGGATTTTTATGACGTCATATGAAAACTCGTCTGGTCTCGATATCAAGGCCTCCCTGTGAGGAAGACAAATCCACATTATTGTTAAAAGGCCCAGTGCAGTCAAAAACGTGATTTTCCTGTGTTTTACACACCACATGACCAAAAAGTAAGTGGACACCTGCTCATCGAACATCTCATTCCAAAATCATGAGCATTAATATGGAGTTGGTCCCCCATTTGCTGCTATAACAGCCTCCACTCTTATGGGAAGGCTTTCCACTAGATGTTGGAACATTGCTGCGGGGACTTGCTTCCATTCAGCCACAAGAGCATTAGTGAGGTCGGGCACTGATGTTGGGCGATTAGTCCTGGCTCGCAGTCGGCGTTCCAATTCATCCCAAAGGTGTTCAATGGGGTTGAGATCAGGGCTCTGTGCAGGCCAGTCAAGTTCTTCCACACCGATCTCGACAAACCATTTCTGTATGGACCTCGCTTTGTGCACGGGGGCATTGTCAGGCTGAAACAGCAAAGGACCTTCCCTAAACTGTTGCCACAAAGTTGGAAGCACAGAATCGTCTAGAATGTTATTGTATGTTGTAGCGTTAAGATTTCCCTTCACTGGAACTAAGGGGCCTAGCCTGAACCATGGAAAACAGCCCCAGATCATTATTCCTCCTCCACCAAACTCTACAGTTGGCATGCATTGGGGCAGGTAGCGTTCTCCTGGCATCCGCCAAACTCAAATTTGTCTGTAAGACTGCCAGATGGTTGGCATTGTGCATGGTGATCTTAGGCTTGTGTGCGGCTGCTCGGCCATGGAAACCCATTTCATCAAGCTCCCGACGAACAGTTATTGTGCTGACATTGCTTCCAGAAGCAGTTTGGATCTCGGTAGTGAGTGCTGCAACCGAGGACAGACGATTTTTACACGCTACGCGCTTCAGCACTCGGCGGTCCCATTCTGTGAGATTGTGTGGCCTACTACTTCGTGGCTGAGCCGTTGTTGCTCCTAGACGTTTCCACTTCACAATAACAGCACTTACAGTTGACCGGGGCAGCTCTAGCAGGGCAGAAATTAGACTGACTTTTTGGAAAGGTGGCATCCTATGACGGTGCCACATTGAAAGTCACTGAGCTCTTCAGTAAGGCCATTCTACTGCCAATTTTTTCTATGGAGATTGCATGGCTGTGTGCTCGATTTTATACACCTGTCAGCAACAGGTGTGGCTGAAATAGCTGAATCCACTAATTTGAAGGGTGTCCACATGCTTTTGCATATATAGTGTATATATTTTCACACAATGAGGTTGGAATAATAGTGTGAAATTGTGAAAATTACGATAATGCCCTTTTAGTGTAAGAGCCATTTGAAAAGACTGCCTGAAATATCAGCCTGTTTAGGAGGAATGGAGTTTTGGCTTGCCTGGTGACATCACCAAGTGGTAAATTAGTTAATAGACCAATAAGAAAGACAGTTCAAAACCTCTCTGCCAATAATAGCTAGTTTTCAGTTTCCCCTCCCCACTCAGACCACCCCCAGACAGTCCTAGCAAAATTCTTGGTTGAGAATTTGCTCTGCTAAGAAGCTAGTTTTGTTTCTTTTTGACAATTTTTATTGGAAACAATCACAGTAAGTTACTTAAATCGTTAGCCAGAAACGATTTGATATTGAGATAAAAACGGCTACATTGGACCTTTAACACTGATAGTGATTCTTAACTCTGACAGTAATTTTTAACACTAGTTTAACTTAACACTGAACATAATTCAAAATTCAGGTTCAGTCCATTTCATCAAGTTGTGAGAAGTACTGTTGTAATTCCATCTTTAATTGATCCACAATTACACAAAATACAACAAAACAATGCTCATAACATAAAGGGGACTTACTCTTCTTCCTCATCTGTGGCAAAGAGGTTGACTCGGAAGCCACCGTCTGCATTTCCTGGTTTCTGGACTTCCAGACCCCCCATTAACCTGGCCAACATGTTCAGCTCCTCTTTGGCCAGGGGGTTTGGAGCGGTGTTGACCTGTATACACAGTGAATATGCGCATTATCATTAACATAACGCATTATTTAGCTGTCTAGCGCATTGTCCATTACATTTAAGGCTTAATTACAGATGTAGCTTAGTCTGACTTGGATAAAAAAGCACTTCAATGAAGAATTGTCATTAAACAATTTTGGTCTTAGACTAGGCTTAATCATTGTCTGGGAAACTATTTCAACCCTGTCAAAAATATAATATTGTAGGACATGCTGTAAAATGACATTTATGAGCAAACATGCAAGGCCTTGCAGGATAAATGCCTGTAAGATAAAATATACAGGGTAGTGGTTAAGCATAATTTGAACTCACCGACTTTTGCTGTGCAGAGTTTTTGGACGTCCCTGACATGTGTGTTTCTACCGGACGGCTCACACTGTACCTGTGGGTAAACAGAAGTCAAGCACTTGACAAACTGAAATAGAATGTAGCATCATGGGGGAGGCTAATAAACCTGTCACTGTGTAAATTATTCACTAAACAAATTGCAGTGACTTTGAGTTACCATGTTGATTTAGGCCTATATGACCATTGACCACAGTAGAGGAAATAGTAGAGAATTTAGTAGTATCAGTGGGGGTATGTCCAGGAAGGTCAATGGTTGTCAATACAGTGTGGAGCAGGTGGGCAGCACAGCACTTACATGTTAGTGCCCAGCTTGATGACCCTCTCTCCAAACATCTCAAAAGAACCCTCGCGGAGAGCGCTGGTGTAGTTCCCACTGTTACGGAACTGCAGTCTCTTCACCTCTTCGCCATTGCAGCAGAACATTCTGAGGATAACAAAAAATACACACACAAAATATTCAGCAAGAATACATCATATGAGGCAATCGATCATTTCCTAAAGATATTTTGCAACTTCTCCTGTTTCCCAGAAGACACTTCAAACAATGCAAATATGATACTGTTCAGGATGGACATTGATCCCAAGACACAATAAATGAGTTTTAAGTACGGCTGCACTCAATCCCTTGGCAAATAGAGCTGTGCTAAAAGTAGGCTTTTCTCAATTTAGACGGCTGCTCGTTCAACACACCCTCAGTAATGCAATTAGCTGCAGATATGCCCGTCTAAATTAAGCCGACAGTGTCTGTGAAAGGAAAGCAAATAGATGCCATCTAACAGCACAAAACAAACAATGGATAGCCATTTTCAATGCATCTAATAAAATAGAGATTTTGCTCTATTGCAACAAACTTGGCTTGGTTGGATTGGTGGGATTCCATGTTATTTGGGTGTGGAAAATTATAGCTGTATGGCTGTGGTACCTGATAAGTCCTGGGATATGTGTTCCGTTGGGCACAGGACCTGAGATCGGGAGGACAAAACGCCCGTTGGAATTCTGCACTTTGTCTTTGAGGAAGATGGACACCTGCAAATACAGATGAGCAAAATGTAGTGATAATTTGTGTAACACTTTGTATAATCTCTCGTGGACAGACTACTTAAACCTAAATGGTACCGTAGATCTGTCCTGATACAACAGCATGTGTGAGATAACGAGCAGCATTAGTTCCGGAGCTTTGAAAAAAAAAAATCTAGATTTCGCAGGTGTTAGCATCTGACCAATTCTCGCAAGACTTTAGTTCTGGGTTAACCGAGATTATGCTCTGTATAATTCATTATGATGGGGTTATAATGCATCGTAAATGGATAGTTCACCCAAATTACATACTGGGTTTCCTTACCTTGTAAGCAGTCTATGGACAATGACAGCAATTCATGCTTTGGTTTAGCTTCCCTGGCACTCATTCAAATGCTAACGTTTTAGCATTTGTGACACAAAGTCATGGTACCTTTATTAACATTTTCTATCTCTGAAACCCATCAAAATATGCCCCACTCCCCCTTCCCAACACACTCATTTTCTGTCGAAAAAGTTAGACAAACTTCTGGGAGATCATGAACTCACCCTTATGTGCATGTCTTGAAAGAAGATGAGGAGTGTTTGCCGGATTAGCTGAAATTCACCACTAGACAAGGGTGTGTACATCTATAAATAAGAGCACAAAACATGCAATGAATAAGAGATCATACTGAACACTTAGCTGAGGTTTGGGCAATTGAAGGGAAGTTCATTATACCTCTATGAGCTGTCTGTATGTCTCATCAACCTGGCTGAGAATGCTTGGGGTGTCCTTCACAAAATCCTTGATGGCATCCATATGGTTGAAGGACACAAGGAGGATATCTTTGGGCCGCGGGCAGAGGAGCACCTGGTACTTGAAGGCCATGGTCATCAAGTCATACAGCTGTGTGCATGAACAACATAGTCATATGGATGATGATGGGTTATTGTCATGCTCAAAAATAGCTGCTGCCAGTTCATAATGTACACCAGAGGGAGCCGTCAGCAGATTTGAACAAACTGCTATGCAGTTGGACTTATACAACATTTAAGCTTACAGCCATGATTAATATTTCAAAATGATATTCTATTTGATAGCCTATATCAAACCACTTTTTAAACACAACAGATAGAACTCTTCAAAATAGTCAAGCAATAATGGTGCAATAAATGATAAAAGCTTAGAAAATATTGGTCTACATGGGGTTTTAAGTGACTTGGACAATTTCCCCAAGTACCTAGAATTAAGACTATTAAAGGGTCACTGGGAACAGAGGATGTGATTCTGAGAATGTGATGATAAAAATGGTAATGTCGTCATGGCAGCTACTCAGCTGACTCCAAAATGTGGTGAATGATAGTTAGATAGGGATTTATTTAACATCTATCTTTCTCAGAAAGGGTTATCCCAAGAAAGGGTTATCCCAGAAAGGGTTAACCAACTTGATTGCCTTTCACTTACGACAAAGGGTCCTGTTAATCAGGCACGAAACGGAAGAAAACAGACAAACACAGAGGGACTACACATCCTTGTCCAATAAAGAACACCTATTTTCGTTTTGCTACGGCGTGCCCTGAACATGACCCAGGTGACACGATTCCATCCATACCTTGTCCATGCTGGCCTGGTTGAGTCTCATGATGGAGGCGTGGGCCAGTCGGTCAAACACGGTCCTGAGGGCCTTCTTGGAGTACAGCTCCTGTGGCTTGAACAGCTCCTCCAAAAACTTTTTATTGAACATGGTGGTGATGATGTCATTCATAACTGGCAGAGTGAGGGCACAGGAGAACAAGGTTGAGGCCAGGTCACAAGTAGGGGACTGGAATAATGTTGGTCTGTAATGTTAGACTCATTAAGATGACATCATCAACATAAACATTGGGAGGTCTTTCCGACTTAAAGACATTAGATTTTTTTTGTTTTACAAACAACCAAATCTGCTAAGACTTATTACTGGCTCTTCCTAATGGAGCCCATAATATAGGCCTAACGCAGTCTTGATAGAACTGGGCCCATATTCAACAAGTGTCTCTGAGTAAGAGTACTGATCTAGGATCAGGTCCCCCTGTCCATTCATTATAATCTAAAAGGCTGAACTGATCCTGGATCAGCACTCCTACTCTGAGATGTATTATGAATATGAGCCCTGGTTTTAACTGTTGATGTTTGTAGGTGTGAAGTCGCCCCCTTGTTTATGATTATGACAACTGGGGTGTATTCATTAAGGAAACCGTTAAAGAACCAAACAGAAGCAAACTGAGCAAACAGAGAGAAATGGGGAGGGACCTTCCTGAATTTGTCCAATAGAAACTCTTGTTTGCGTTTTCTGTTAGGAGTAAACGGTTTCTGTTGTAAAACGTTTTGCAACATAATCGGCGTAATGATTACACCCCTGGCAGAGTCTACCTTTAAAATCAAGAAGTGCCGTGCTCAAAAGAGTCTACCTTTAAGCAAGCAGATGTGCATTCTATAGGCAAGGTTTAACGTCCACCTATTCCCAATTGTCCTGAGAAAGCAACAGCCTTTTAAACCATCAGCAGCATTATCAGCGTGCAAAGTTATTTGATTTGGGAGGTAGAAACCGGATTTCTCTTCTTAATAAAGGCCATGGCTGAAATCTCTACAATCTTGGGGGCAGAGTGAATGAATATCTCTGGGCAAAGATTTCATCCAGATTGTTCTACCAATGTAATACTCTGTTGGTTTCCTTGAAGGCCTCAAAGCAGAGCATGTAGGCCTAGAGATGCACTGCATGAGAAACATCAAAATACCTCTCCTTCTGTCATCCTCTATCCAATCAGCTACAAGTACAATGAAGAATTTGCAGGTTAAAACACAGGCAGGGAGACACATGAATGTGCTCCAATTTTTGGCAACCAGGTTGTGGACATGACAAGGTCAGTGATTCACCTGTTGGTCAGGTAGCTAGTTGAATTCTAGCCTAATACACCCAGACAGCTAAGCTAGTTAGCTAACTAGCTAGCTATAATGTTACCTTTCTTGGCTTTGTCAGCTGGAATATTCTGAGCTCTTAGGCGTTGATCCAAGATGTAGAGCATTTCTCCACCGAGATTAATAAAAAGCAGGGGTAGCGTCCTCGAAGACATATTTGTCGTATTGTGCTGGATAGCTAGCTAGTGAAATGTCCCCTTTTTGTCTCGTTTAAGCGTATGTAAGCTTCCACTTGGTTGCCAGGTCACGAAGAAAAAGGACCAATCAGGTAGCACGTACGGTATCGTGCAAATTTTATTTTTTATGCAAATCAGAGATCAAGACGTTTTAGTAAAGGCTTGACTGTTCATGTTCATAGATACCTCAGTGTTATGAACGTCCCTGGGACAGCAGCCTGTAAATCATCCTGGAAAAGGACAAAATGCCATTGGAGACAAGAAAAAACAGAACTTTATTGTACATAATAATAATAATAATAATATGCCATTTAGCAGACGCTTTTATCCAAAGCGACTTACAGTCATGCGTGCATACATTTTTGTGTATGGGTGGTCCCGGGGATCGAACCCACTACCTTGGCGTTTCAAGCGCCGTGCTCTACCAGCTGAGCTACAGAGGACCACATCTTATGTTCATACATGGTGTTATGAATTCTTAGAGCAGGACTGTTTGGGGGTAGGGGGTCAAATTTAAACAAAACAAAAGTACATTACAATTTGTATCAACAATATGTGACATGAGATTAATTTAACTTCCACTTGAAAATGTCTTCAATTGACTGTACAAGTCAAACGTCCCCATTCCTGATGCGAATTTCACGGGCCATCCTGCACATCTCAAAGAATCCACAGCAACAGGTCATCAACGCATCATTGCATATCGTCCCCTGTAAAAAAAAATATGAGAATAAAATATGATGAGAATGAATCCACCAAATATTTGACAGTTCAAGTCCTCAAACTAGGGAAAACCAGTAGGCTAATTTGTCAATATGTGTACTGATGAAACGGTCCCTTCCTGTCTTTCATAATAAAAGGGTGAGACTGGCTGGGACAGGAATGAGTTGCAGTTCTCCCTAGTGTGCTTTAAAATGACATACTCAATGCCTCACCATCCCTAATTACTTTAGGCTTCTAAGTGTAACATACCTGAATCCCATAGGTCAATCTCATGTGGGTCCTCATGGCTGTCATGCCTCCTGGAACACAGCCAAGGCATGGGTTCTCACCATACTTGTTAGCTGTGTAGCAACTCAATGCTGGTGGGCAGATGAAGCCCAAAGCACCTGTATGACAACATTTTACCTTATTGTAAAATCCAGAAAATAGGAAACACTTTTTACTTGAAACACTTGACAACCATTAAACCCTATGGTATGATACCAGGTAGGCCTACTTAGTGATGATACTTAAGGTCTTATTTGTCTCAATACTCACAGACTAGGATGTCACTGCAGCAGGAGCACAGCCCAGTGCTCCACTCGCCCGTCTGCACATTTGTCCCATAAGAGCCTGCTCCTGGCTGGTGGGTGATGACTGGGTTCGACATGTCAATCAAATGGGGTCAGCTTCAAACACCTAAAAACTAACCACATCGAACAGTTAGCACAGTGGTTGAAGTTTGATCATTTCCCCAATACAGCAATAAAACAAAACTAGCAGCATGTAGACTGTTGTGGGATGGGAAATGTTCATTGTCGTTTTTTCCTTCCTTCAAGATCATTGCTCATAGGAAAGTTCACATAAAAGTTCCATACACTGGGTACTCAAGTTTATACACGGGTCCATTCATACCTTGAACCACCATATACTGCAAACCCTCTTATGTATTGCAATAGGTTTTAATATAATTACATACGTAAAATGGGATATTGTTGTATTGCCATTTCATTAAACAAAGACTAATGATAACTGTTGTATAACTGTTCTGTTTCATCAAAATTGTACAAGGACAAGACATGTACATCAATTTCAACTGTTTCTCAGAAAGCGGTAAACCTGAACATTTTAGGTAGTTGTTTATTATTAAGTAGTTACTCTATTGTAGCTTTTCTACAGATGTGAGAGCAGAGGAAAGAGCATGTCACTCACCTACGTTGTCTGCAGCTCTGAGCCTCTCCAGATCTGTGTCGATACACTTTAACAGGAAGTTGTGATACTAAAGCTGTGAACAAGCGCTGATCACACACTCCTATGTTTCTCAAGACAACTCTCAACAGTAATGCAAACACCAAAATTCACAGTAGGACAGTTAAGCTGTTTTATGACCTCACCATTCCTCAGAATTATAGGTTTATAGGTCAATTCACAGGTGACAGATCATGAGTATAACCTCGGTTTAACATATGAGGTGGATGAACACCCAATATCTGATGTTCTTTCAGTTTTCGCAAACACGATTGCAAGCTAAGTTCAGGGAAGTCATCATATGATTAATCTTACACTTCAGTTTCAACCACAGTTCAACCCATAGGGCGTAATGTTCTTATTTCTCATATCTTTCATTAGCATTTTAATCAGCATCAAGTAGAAGTGTTTTCTCTCTTTCAATTGGGGTAGTTACACATCACCATACACAAGTGACTATAAGTGATAAAAGTGATAAAGGTGAAACATGCATAAAAAAAAGGATCGCAAACAATACATTTTATTAAATTAAATGATTAATTGTGGGTTTATTTGATAGTCTCAGGTCACATATGCTGAGTACAAATAGACATTGCCCACCCCTAAAACCACATATCTGCATCACTGCGTTTATTTGGACCAAATGTGGTTTGATAATGCATCAACTTGCAGAGGGGACAGGAAGAATGAAGACTTGGTGTACTACAAACAATAAGTTATTCATGTTTCTTATTACAGTATAGCAATACATGGGAAAATGTATTTTGCATTGCTGGTGCCACGGGTGGGTGGAGATTTGTCCTTAGGACAAATGGAATGGTCGAAAATTAGCAAACCCCGCCCACCTGGGGCCATGCAAAATGAATTTGCCCATTGAGAGCAAGACTGAATGGATCGAGTAAGACAGACATTGGAGCGTGCCTTGCAATATACCCCGATACTGTAGTAGTTTATTGGGTTCCTATAGCGGTTGTCCTGGCTGGTTCTGCCAGTATGGGGGCGAGGGTCTGCTTCATTTTCTTCCTTTGCTCCAGTTTCTGTTTCTGCACCTCTTTGAAGACCTAAGAAAAGGACACAGTCATATAAACCAACAGCAAAAATGACAACAACAACAAAACTATAAATGTCTCCATCTTTGCTTTGGCTTTTAGATTAAGTCATGCATTTGACAAATGGTAAAAGCCATGGTTCCACAGCCTGCATACAGCAGAAAGATTAACAACAAGAAAATTGCAAGTCTGGTCCCAGATCGGTTTGTGCTGTCTTGCCAACCATACAGTACAAACCACTCTGGGACCAAGCTAGAAAACTGCGCTAAGTAAAGTGAATGGAGTTTGGTTGTCTACCTTTATGCACAGGGCCTTCTTGGCCAGCCAGCGTCGGGTGGCGTGTCTGTAGTACTCCGGGGGGAAAGTGTAGGTGATTCCCAGCTGCTGGCAGACATGTTCAAAGGCGTCGTAGCGAGTCACCCTCAGGTGCTTGAGCAGCTTCTTCCTGCGGTCAATGGCCATGAGCATCCGTCGCTTGTTCGCTTTGTCCTGATACAAAGATGGGGGGTCAAAACACAGAGTCAGAGGTGAAATGGAGAAAAAAAATATGCTTAAAGGGATAACAATATTTAGGGCTCGATTAAATCCGTAGTGCTGAAGAGCAGTGCTGTAGCGCGATTGAAATTTAAAGGTAATATCCCATTGAGCCGACTATTGCAGTGTTCACCGTGAATGGAGTCTCCGCGAACGCAGGAACATTGCCTTTAAATTTCTGTCGTGCTGTAGCGCAGCTCTTCAGGACTACAGATTGAATCGAACCCCTAGTCTGGGAACAATGTGTGTTTTACATAATAGAGGAGTTGCTTTTCTTATTAAAAATAGCATAGCTATTTTGAGACAGTCAAAACTGTCTAAAAGTGAGATACTTTATAGAGACAGACTGCCAAACCTTGGCTTCAACATTTTAGCTGTGCTAAAGGTTAGATAAACAGTTATATTTTGCAATATGTCTGCAAAAATGTTGGATACAATGTTACGTGTATACGTTGTGACAGTGTAAATTCCCAGCATGCAGCAACACCATTACTAATCTGTCAAATGTCATGGTGGGTGTACGCACTACACAGGAAATCCTGTTGACAAACCTCACACCAGATAGGGAGGGGTTCGGAAATGAAACGTGTGGAAATAATATGCATTCACGTCACTGTTACTATAGGGACCTAAAATGACACAGTCTTGCATTTACCCTTCGCCCATACACACCTTAGTATGTTTGTGCAGGTGCTCCTGGTAGTTTCGGATTTTGGAGGTCAAAATGGCCACTAAAAGGTAAAGAAAGGGGTTCAGAAGTGAACAAACGATTGCTGAAATAAGGTGGTTCCTCAGAGGAAAAGCACAGGTTGTTTACTAGGTCCAAAACAGGAATTTACCCTTGACTTCTGTAGAGCTGCGGTCAGCTTCATCTCTCTGGACTTTTGCAATCAGCTGCTCCGTTTTCAATCGCAACTTCTCGCTCTGGTGACACACAACATGGTGGTTTGATTATGCAATATCCAGCATAGGTATAGAAAAACTATTGTACCATAATGTAAACTATAGCAACTAACAGAGGTATACAACAATTGTAGTTACTCTTATGTAGATATTCTTATGAGCACAAAGAGAAAGATTAATAGAATGTAGGAGCAAGGTGAAAATAACATACGTGGTTTGCTAGTTCCAGTGTCAGAAGTCTCTTGACCAGGTCATCAGCTCTGTAAACACATAACAGATCAGCATTAGGAAGAGAAGTACTGTATAGTAGACGTATAGTACAAACACTGAGTAGGCCTACATACAGTGCATTCTGAAAGTATTCAGACCCCTTCCCTTTTTCCAAATTTTGTTATGTTACAGCCTTATTCTAAAATTGATTAAATACATGTTTTTCCCTCATTAATCTACACACAATACCCCATTACGACAAAGCGAAAACAGGTTTTTATAAATTTGAGCAAATTTATGAAAAAGAAGAAAACAGAAATACCTTATTTACATAAGTATTCAGACCCTTTGCTATGAAACTCAAAACTGAGCTCAGGTGCATCCTGTTTCCATTGCTCATCCTTGAGATGTTTCTACAACTTGAGTCCACCTGTGGTAAATTAAATTGATTGGACATGGATATGGATTGCACACACCTGTCTATATAAGGTCCCACATCTGACAGTGCATGTCAGAGCAAAAACCAAGCCATGAGGTCGAAGGAATTTTCCATAGAGCTCCGAGACTGGATTGTGCTGAGGCACAGATCTGGGGACAGGGTATCCACTACGGTTTGCAGCATTGAAGGTCCCCAAGAACACAGTGACCTCCATCATTCTAAAATGGAAGAAGTTTGGAACCACCAAGACATTCCCTAGAGCTGGCAGCCCGGTCAAACTGATCAATCGGGGAGTAGGGCCTTGGTCAGAGAGGTGACCAAGAACCGGATGGTCACTCTGACAGAGCTCCAGAGTTCCTCTGTGGAGATGGGAGAAACATCCTTCCAGAAGGACCACCATCTCTGCAGCACTCCACCAATCAGGCCTTTATAGTGGAGTGGCCAGATGGAAGCCACTCCTCAGTAAAAGGCACATGACAGCCCGCTTGGAGTTTGCCAAAAGGCACCTAAAGGACTCGCAGACCATGAGAAACAAGATTCTCTGGTCTGATGAAACCAAGATTGAACTCTTTGTCCTGAATGCAAAACGTCATGTCTGGAGGAAACCTGGCACCATCCCTATGGTGAAGCATGGTGGTGGCAGCATCAAGCTGTGGGGATGTTTTTCAGCGGCAGGGACTGGGAGACCAGTCAGGATCGAGGGAAAGATGAATGGAGCAAAGTACAGAGAGATCCTTGATGAAAACCTGCTCCAGAGCGCTCAGGATCTCAGACTTGGGCAAAGGTTCACCTTCCAACAGGACAATGACCCCAAGCACACAGCCGAGACAACGCAGGAGTGGCTTCGGGACAAGTCTCTGAATGTCCTTGAGTGGCCCAGCCAGAGCCCGGACTTGAACACGATCGAACATCTCTGGAGAGACCTGAAAATAGCTGTGCAGCAACGCTCCCCATCCAACCTGACAGAGCTTGAGACGATCTGCAGAGAAGAATGGGAGAAACTCCCCAAATACAGGTGTGCCAAGCTTGTAGCATCATACCCAAGAAGACTCAAGGCTGTAATTGCTGCCAAAGGTGCTTCAACAAAGTACTGAGTAAAGGGTTTGAATACTTATGTAAAATGTTTTAGATCTAATAAAATTGCAAACATTTCTATAAACCTGTTTTTGCTTTGTCATTATGGGGTATTGTGTATAGACTGAGGTAAAAAGAAAAAATTATTCATCAATTTTAGAATAAGGCTGTAACGTAAAAAAATGTGGAAAAAGTCAACGGGTCTTAATACTTTCCAAATGCACTGTATTGTACAAATAAATACATAGAATAACTATTTTAAACAACATCTCAGTGCCGTAGTTGTTTGGACATGGGAGAGATGAACATACATGAGCCATGTCTGCATGACATAAAATACATGTAATTTAAAAATAATAATAATAATATGCCATTTAGCAGACGCTTTTATCCAAAGCGACTTACAGTCATGCGGGCATACATTTTTTTTCTTTTTGTGTATGGGTGGTCCCGGGGATCGAACCCACTACCTTGGCGTTACAAGCGCCGTGCTCTACCAGCTGAGCTACAGAGGACCAACAAATTAAACAAAATTAAATGTACATACGTTTGAGCGAGTGGAACAGCAGCATATTCCATTTTCAGCATTGTTGGAGACAGATCACTCAGCTGACTTTGCATCACTGATGGAAAAAAACTTAGACAGTAAATATCAAATATCCAAGTGGTCTTAGATCAAATAGTTGACCTTGGTCCTCCATACCTGGCTTCTTCTTTCTTACGGCACGGGCATAGTTTCTCACAGGCTGAATGGTGAAACTTCCAATACCTGGTAAGAATTAAACAAATTATCAAACAATACATAATTACTCTTAGTCCATTGCTTTATGAACCATAGGATTGTGCCAGGTTTATGCCTGCAACTCCACAGAGTGTACAAAACATTAAGAACATTGCATAGACTGACCAGGTGAATCCAGGTAAAAGCTATGATCCCTTTTTGATGTCACTTATTAAATTAACTTCAAATCAGTGTAGATGAAGGGGAGGAGACAGGTTAAAGAAGGATTTTTAAGCCTTGAGACATGGATTGTGTATTTGTGCCATTCGGAGGGTGAATGGGCAAGACAAACGATTTAAGTGCCTTTGAACGGTATGGTAGTTGGTGCCAGGTGCAACGGTTTGTGTCAAGAACGGCAATGTTGCTGGGTTTTTCATGCTAAACAGTTTTCCTGTGTGTAGAATGGTCCACCACCCAAAGAACATCCAGACAACTTGACAACTGTGGGAAGCATTGGAGTCAACATGGGCCAGCGTTTCTCAGGAACGCTTTTCGACACAGTCCATGCCCCGACGAATTGAGGCTGTTAATGAGGGCAGCTCAATATTAGGAAGGTTTTCTTAATGTTTTGTACACTCAGTGTATGTGCATGCATGAGAAAGTGTATGTAAGCATGTTCAGCAGTAACATGGTTTGCAGTAAGAGTTGGGATGTCTTACTATAGTACTACTTGTTCTGATGTAGGCCTACATTTTGTGAACTGTGGTGCAGAGATCATAGAAACAAGAGTGGAGTGTCATGTTCTGCATAAATGATCAAGAGTGGTGGAGTGACTGTGAGAAAAGCTGCTGCATACACATTGCAGGGGACCAGTGGGGAAAATAACTGGTTCCCACATCCTCTTCATAAAAAACCACTTACTAGCAGACTGACTGATTGCATGATAAGAAATGTATTAGTCATACAGTTGAAGTCGTAAGTTTATATACACTTAGGTTGGAGTCATTAAAACTTGTTTTTCAACCAATCCACACATTTCTTGTTAAACTATATTTTTGGCAAGTCAGTTAGGACATCTACTTTGTGCATGACACAAGTAATTCTTCCAACAATTGTTTACAAACAGATTATTTCACTTATAATTCACTGTATCACAATTCCAGTGGGTCAGAAGTTTACATACACTAAGTTGACTGTGCCTTTAAACTGCTTGGAAAATTCCAAAAAACGATGTCATGGCTTTAGAAGCTTCTGATAGGCTAATTGACATCCTTTGAGTCAATTGGAGGTGTACCTGTGGATGTATTTCAAGGCCTCCCTTCAAACTCCGTGCCTCTTTGCTTGACATCATAGGAAAAACAAAAGAAATCAGCCAAGACCTCAGAAAAAAATTGGAGACACCATGGGACCACGCAGCCTTCATACCGCTCAGAAAGGAGACGCGTTCTGTCTCCAAGAGATGAACCTGCCACTGCTCCAAAACCGCCATAAAAAAGACAGACTACGGTTTGCAACTGCACATGGGGACAAAGATCGTGCTTTTTGGAATAATGTCCTCTGGTCTGATGAAACAAAAATATTACTGTTTGGCCATAATGACCATCGTTATGTTTGGAGGAAAAAGGGGGTGCTTGCAAGCCAAAGAACACCATCACAATCGTGAAGCACGGGGGTGGCAGCATCATGCTGTGGGGGTACTTTGCTGCAGGAGGGACAGGTGCACTTCACAAAATAGATGGCATCATGAGGAAGAAAAATGATGTGGATATATTGAAGCAACATCTCAAGACATCAGTCAGGAAGTTAAAGCTTCGTCGCAAATGGGTCTTCCAAATGGACAATGACCCCAAGCATACTTCTAAAGTTGTGGCAAAATGGCTTAAGGACAACAAAGTCAAGGTATTGGAGTGGCCATCACAAAGCCCTGACCTCAATCCTATAGAAAATTTGTGGGCAGAACTGAAAAAGCGTTTGCGAGCAAGGAGGCCTACAAACCTGACCCAGTTACACCAGCTCTGTCATTTATTGTGGGAAGCTTGTGGAAGGCTACCCGAAACATTTGACCCAAGTTAAACAATTTAAAGGCAATGCTACCAAATACTAATTGAGTATATGTAAACTTCTGACCCACTGGGAATGTGATGAAAGAAATAGAAGCTGAAATCATTCTCTCTACTATTATTCTGACATTTCACATTCTTAAAATAAAGTGGTGATCCTAACTGACCTAAGACAGGGAATTTTTACTAGGATTAAATGTCAGGAATTGTAAAACTGAGTTTAAATGTATTTGGCTAAGGTGTATGTAAACTTCCGACTACAACTGCATGTCTGGGTTAAAATGGCATTACCTTCGCACCAGTCTAGTTACAAATGATTCCTTTCATTTCAGCTATTTGGACATCAAATAATGTTCATGATCTATTTTGATGTAATCTATTTTTATAATTAAACCATTTAGCTAGCCTAGTTGGTACACACAGGATGATAACAACAATGGAGTAGTGAATTTATGTCCCTATACAAATAGCAAGCCTGTGTCACTGTGTACACAAAGATAATAACTATTGTGTACCGGTCTATAAATGTGTTGTTGTGATTAACTATCCGTGCACTAGACATCCTAGCTAATTGCTGCAGTGCCCTCTCCTGGCCTACCCAAGGAAGAATTGTACTCATGACATGACTAATGGAAAATCACCTTTTTACGAGGTGTTATGATGATGATAAGTGGGTTCACACAACATCTACCTTTCCCTATTTTTCAGTAATGGTTCATTGATTCTTGCTCGCCGTGTGCAGTTAGCTAGTTGACATGCATGCGAGCAAGTACAAATAAATAATCGGCGCGCACATTGACAAGCCGTTTCATTGTGGCATTGACTTATACGGACTCCTTAGCTAACTACAATATCGCAAGCCCACGTCTACTCTATGAAATTAGTAGTATAAATATATATTTATTTACCTGTCAATACAGTCTCATTGTTGCTGTTTGAAGGCCCTGTGATGACAGAGGTACATGCCCCATGTTTAAATGGGAGAGACGCACAGGTTCCTTTCAGCCTGGATAAAACACCACATTCTCGCAGAACGACAGATGTCGATTTAAGAGCACTTCTTAAAGCCATGCTTAATAACATACTGATTAAGAGATGATTTGATATGTATGTCAGGTTTTACTGGTCAAAACATAACGAGTGAACAGCATTCGTCCCCTACAGGAGGATCGCCATTTTGATTAGACATAACTAATCAGACGGAGAAGTCGATTCAGGAAATGAGAAGGATGCATGAATAATCTATGGTGTCACTCGTTCAAGCGTTTTTAATTTTTTTGCTGTAGTAGCCTGCGTCATAACATTTATCCACCGGACAGTACCGGTATGTTCAAAAAAGACTATAGCATTATTATCCTTGGCATTTACAGTATTTATTTTATTCACATGAAAGAGTGACATTTTTACAGAATCCTTTTTTTATTTTTATGAAAGAGTGAAAAATAGTAAACTGTATAGGCCAATACCAATACATTAAAGGTCCCGCACACTCATCCTATTTCCCAAGTAAAAATAGCCTTTGTAAAATTGGGCTACTTTGAAAACTATGCTGCGGGTGAAAATGTATTGGTCACGGGTTGCAGGTTTTTGCGCTACTTCTAAATTGCACCGCGGCCACCATGGCATCTCTTTACATTTTTATTTTATTAATTTCACACTGCTACCGCTGACTATCAAGCAATGAGGCAGGCTGTTGCTGAGTGAATGAGTGAGTCAGTGAGTGGTGGGGAGGGAGGGGGAGGGCCGGAGGTGTGTGTGTGTGTGTGTGTGTGTGTTGAGCACAGTCATTGGTGTTGAGAGAGCGCTGCAGCAGGCAGACATGACAAGTGATGTGAGAACAACTAACTAATTAACTAACACTAGCTCGCTACATACTTCTCCCTCATAATTCTTCTTTGCCTCATTCGTGGTATCCCGACCGCCCCCCAGTCCTACACTCTTAGAAAAAATGGTTATTTCGGGTTCTATATTGAACCTTTTGCTTCTTTGGACGAGATTAAAGAACCCTTTACTAAAAAGGTGCTATAAATCACCTTGAGGGTTCTATCCCTACCCCAGAGTGTAATGTGGATTTTAGCAAACAACAGCTAACAAAAGCTAACACAGTCACATCAAACTCTGAAATGACAGCGAACTAGCTCATTTTTCATTTGTTTTAGTTGTTTTGCATTGACATTTATATCTATATTAATGTGCTGTTGCAAGATAAATGTTAGCTAAAAGCAAGAGGAAATAATGTGTTTAAAAGCTTACACTCATAGGGTGCGTTCGTAAATTCACTTTGGCTATCTACTCCGATTTCAGAGCATTCTCATCTGAGTGTGCCAAAGTGCAGAATAACTGATTAATTTACGAACACACAACACCCGTTGAATATGACCATTATCAGTAAACGTAGTAAAAAAAACACAATTACATTGTTGCCAGAGGCACAGTTAGTCACCAACGCTCTAGATAACATGAAAACAGCCTAACCAGCTCTGCTAGGGCGAGTAAAATGGTCAGAGTGTTCTCTCATTTGTGTATGGAAGTAGCTAGAAAGCTAGCTAACTTTAGCCAGTTAGCTTGGGTGCTTGACTGCCGTTGTGAGGTCAGAACGCTCGGATTAACCCTACTCCTGGCCAGAGCTTCCAGTGTGCGCTCTGAACGCTCCGAGAGCAAAATGCTCTGAATTTATGAACACCTAGAGTGCACTCTGAGGGGTTCTATATAGAACCTTTTGGTCAATTCAAATTTTAATTGCCATTCTTTAAAAAAAATCCACTGCCATTCCAGCATGATGATGCAAGAGGATGGTGGTTGAAGTTGCGAATAGCCTACCTATAAGCACATTATTTTTCAATTTATTAAGGGAAACAAAGTTGATTATGTAATTCAAATATATGCAGCCAAAGTCATATGATAAACTATATAATTTTTTACGCTAGCATAGCTAGCTAACTAGCTAACTTTGCTAGCTAGCTAACTTTGCTAGCTAGCTGACTACACAGGAAAAAGCTAGGCTACTTTAATTAGTCACTTTACAAGCTACCTAGCTAACTCTTACAAATAAACATGATTTTTTATTATGGAATATGCCAAATAGGGCTACAGACCCAGCCTGACATAGGCTATTAGCTTGTTACTTTTATTTCAGTGTGGAGTCAGATGAGGGGACTGTGTTTCATGAAGCCATTAGAAGACTGTTGCCTACCTCTGTTGAATGTACATTATGGGGAGTGGGCTGACTGAGAGGAGGTATGCATCTAAATTATTTATAATAAATTATGTATAATAAGTCTTTGTGATTCAATAGCCTAGTTAATCATTGCATGACTTTTAACATACTATCTATGTTTTGCTCAGTCTGGCAGTAACCAACTATCAGAGGCAGAGGATCTCTATTTTGGCTGCTGCTGACAACAACTGCATGGAAGTTGTTCTTCTACATCATAACAATTATATGTGCGCATAGATTTTTGTCTTCACTTTTTTATTCTTCTCAGGAACCAGCCTAGACAACAACCCAAACTGTACTGTTCCATAAAGAAGTCAGCCAGAGTTGATACCAAGATTGACGTGGGCCATCAATCAAACAAACAGATGCCTCCCTGGCCACCAGTGTTTATTTCCAAACTAAGTTTGCATATAATGACAATAAAATCTCAAAACGATGCTGGTATTCCTTTGTCCATTATTTAATTGTTTTTTATATTATATTCTTAGCGAAAAATATGAAAATGTTTTAGCAGTAGCCATAATTCCTAAATGTCAACATACAGGGTTCTATATGGAACCAATTTTGTTTCATTGAAGAAGAACCCTTGGGGTTCTGATCAAAGAACCCTATAAAAGTGTTCTATATAGAACTTTTAGGGTTTCCATATATGAAGGAAGCAATAGAACCCTTTTGGTTCTTTAAGGAACCTTTTTTTCTAAGAGTGTACCAATCATTACTAGAGCCAACAAAGCAGGGGAGAGAAACAAAAATAATCATCCAACATTTCCAGAGAGAAGGAGAGAGGATCCAAATTAAAGGGATACCCTTTATGATACCCTTTATTGACTGATGCCCAATGATGCCCTTTATCTACTTCCCCAGAGTCAAATGAACTTCTGGATATCATTTTTATGTTTCTGTGTCAAGTATGAAGGAAGTTAGAGGTAGTTTAGTGAGCATGCTAGCAGATACCCATAGACTTACAGTCATTGCACTAACGCTAGTTAGCAATTGCTCGAGCGTTACAACTTCCTTCAAACTGCACGCAGGGACATATAAATTGTAGCACACTCTGGAATATGTTCCGGGATTCATCCAATGGCATTGAGGAGTGTACCATCTCAGTCACCGGCTTCATCAATAAGTGCATCAATGACGTCGTCCCCACAGTGACCGTTCGTACATATCCCAACCAGAAGCCATGGATTACAGGCAACATCCGCACCGAGCTAAAGGCTAGAGCTGCCGCTTTCAAGGAGCGGGATACTAATCCGGACGCTTATAAGATATCCCGCTATGCCCTCAGACGAACCATCAAACAAGCAAAGCGTCAATACAGGATTAAGATTGAATCGTACTACACCGGCTCTGATGCTCGTCGGATGTGGCAGGGCTTGCAAACTATTACGGACTACAAAGGGAAACCCAGCCGCGAGCTGCCCAGTAACGCAAGCCTACCAGATGAGCTAAATGCCTTTTATGCTCGCCTCGAGGCAAGCAACACTGAAGCATGCATGAGAGCACCAGCTGTTCCAGATGACTGTGTGATCACGCTCTCCGTAGCCGATGTGAGCAAGACCTTTAAACAGTTCAACATTCACAAGGCCAGATTACCAGGAGATGTACTCAGAGCATGCGTGGACCAACTGGCAAGTGTCTTCACTGACATTTTCAACCTCTCCCTGACCGAGTCTGTAATACCTACATGTTTCAAGCAGACCACCATAGTCCCTGTGCACAAGAAAGGGAAGGTAACCTGCCTAAACGACTACCGCCCCGTAGCACTAACGTCAGTAGCCATGAAGTGCTTGAAAGGCTGGTCATGGCTCACATCAACACCATCATCCCGGAAACCCTAGACCCACTTCAATTCGCATACCGCCCCAACTGATCCACAGATGACACAATCTCAATCACACTCCACACTGCCCTTTCCCACCTGGACAAAAGGAACACCTATGTGAGAATGCTGTTCATTGACTACAGCTCAGCGTTCAACACCATAGTGCCCACAAAGCTCATCACTAAGCTAAGGACCCTGGGACTAAACACCTCCCTCTGCAACTGGATCCTGGACTTCCTGACGGGCCGCCCCCAGGTGGTAAGGGTAGGCAACAACACATCTGACATGCTGATCCTCAACACTGGGGCCCCTCAGGGGTGCATGCTTAGTCCCCTTCTGTACTCCCTGTTCCACGACTGCATAGCCAAGCATGACTCCAACACTATCATTAAGTTTGCTGATGACAGTGGTAGGCCTGATCACCGACAATGATGAGACAACCTATAGGGAGGAGGTCAGAGACCTGGTCGTGTGAGGCCAGGACAACAACCTCTCCCTCAAAGGAGTTGATCGTGATCTACAGTAAAAGGAGGGCCAAACAGGCCCCCATTAACATCGACGGGGCTGTAGTGGAACAGGTTGAGAGCTTCAAGTTCCTTGGTGTTCACATCACCAACAAACTATCATGGTCCAAACACACCAAGACAGTCAAGAAGAGGGCATGACAAAGCCTATTCCCCCTCAGGAGACTGAAAAGATTTGGCATGGGTCCTCAGATACTCAAAAAGTTATACAGCTGCACAATTGAGAGCATCCTGACTGGTTGCATCACTGCCTGGTATGGCAACTGCTCGGACTCCGACCGCAAGGCATTACAGAGGGTAGTGCATACTGCCCAGTACATCACTGGGGCCAAGCTTCCTGCCATCCAGGAGCTCTATACCAGGCGGTGTCTGAGGAATGCCCTAAAAATTGTCAAAAACTCCAGCCACCCTAGTCATAGACTGTTCTCTCTGCTACCGCACGACAAGCGGTACCGGAGCACCAAGTCTAGGTCCAAATGCTTCTTAACAGCTTCTACCCCCAAGCCATAAGACTCCTGAACAGCTAATCATGGCTACCTTGACTATTTGCATTGTCCCCCCCTACCCCACTCCACCCCACCCCCTCTTTTACGCTGCTGCTACTCTGTTATTATCTATGCATAGTCATTTTAACTCTACCCACATGTACATA